GAGAACATTGCCTTTGAGCTTGTGGCTTCCTCACCTCTTGGAAACCCTAAGCAAATCCTCCCCCTCTTGGTCACGAATAAGGCTGTTCACAATGCTCTGGCCATGGGCAGTGGGACAGCTTTGTACTCTCGGATATGCCGCCTGAAGTTCGACATTGGTGCTGTCACTCGGCGGGCTTTCACACCTTTGACAAGAGACCTCAATGGTCACCTTGTCCAGATGTGCTACATGCTCAAGGTCTTCGCCTCTGGGGACATCTTCCACGAGGACGCACCAGACCAACTCCTCATTGCATATGTTGCAATGCTGGAGAACGATGGGAAGAACAGGGCCCAGCTCGAGCATGTCGGTATCGTGGACTTTGTCGACAGATTCGTTCGGCAGAGGCTACATGAGGGCAAGGAGGACAACGATGGATGGCCGAAGGAGGATAACGGGCGAGTCTACGCTCTGTGGTTGATGTGGTTTCTCTCCACTAGGGGTGAGTTGCTTCATGCTTGTACCTCACCCAAAGCTGACAGCCTTCCTACTAGACCGTCTCTTGCAAGAGACGGAAGAAGAGCGGGCGCAGGTCCTTCGTCTCGTCTTTCCTTTTCTCGTCTGTCCGAATCGCGTATGTGCCTTCGTTTCTTCCTTCATGAATCCTTGCTGAAGGTTTCTTGCAGTACACCTCTGCCATCGCTCCCCCCTAACCACTTTACACTGCCTCTTAGCCGAGACTCTCAATCGCAAAACCAATTCGTAGTGGACACAGCTCACGGGTCTTATCCAGTCTACCACACCTCGAAGAAGACGGCCAGCAGGCTCTATCACTTCAGTGCCCAGCCTGTCTTCATGGAGCCGCTGATTGCGCCAGTCGCTAGCCTACTCTTTTGGTCGCGACGAGAACTCAATGGAGTTTTCCAGATACCTCCTCACCTTCCCCACGATCGAGCAGCACGACAGGGCCAGCATGGTCTCACACAAGCAGACCTCCACGAGTTCAACGCCACGCGTGTTGCGAAGATCCCCGAACGTATCATCTGGGACTGGGATCTCGGTATTGCTGTGAAGCATGGGGATAATGGCTCGACGTCACCAGTCACCGACCCCTCGAGCACTAGATTTGACGCCGATTGGTGGAGGGCGAGACTCTGTACCGGTATCCTCACCAAACAGCCGAAATTCCGCTTGGGTTCTGTCTACCTCCGAGGGATGATGACCGGCTTGTGGCAAGGCATCATGTTTGTGAGTGTTGCACCTGCTTCAGGCCTTTCTGCAACGCTAATGCTTTACTCTCCAAGGGACAGTCGCACAACTCTTTCTTAGACATACTTCGTCAACAGCAATGTCCTCCCAATCTCTCGGAGCATAGCACATACTTTACCAGCAAACCGCTTTGGCTGCGCGCAAATGAGCACGGTTTCATACGCACGCCTACAAGCAACGAGGCAAACGCGATCCCGCAGGCTCGCGCGGAACAGGTGCCCATAACGATTACCACCCCGACCGGCACACAGCCGACATTCGTTCCCGTGAACGTTAGCTTCGGCAATGCATGGTTCCCTGGCCCTGTGGGCAGCCTTCGATGGCTCAAGGGTGGCGAACCTCTCGATGACGGCCTCTTCCAAGACAGGTACCTGAATCCCATCAAGACCAGGGATGATATGGATACCACTCAATTCATCGTCTCCCAGCGTTCCCCCTTCGCCACCGACAATCTCAACCCCAATCTCATCTCAGAGTATGGCGGACCAGTTGATAAAGCAGTTGCAACTCTCGTTGAGGGCGACCGCTTCGTTTACGAACACTTTGAGAACGGTAAGACCAGCGTTCACCAGCGCATGGTCGAGGCCAAGGGCAGCCTTGTTTACGGGCAGGCGACTGGCGGTGACCACGAGACGCATTGCGGATGCCCAAGATGCGGAGAGATCGATGGTCTCCTACGCAGCCGGAGAGTCAGGGATCGGCAGAGCGAGGATGACGTCGAAGCAATCTTTCAAACTGTTGGAATGGAGAAGGGGCCAGATGCGGCAGAGCTTGGTTTTCTGGACGATGTCCTCCTCGATGAAGGGGAGCTCGGTGCACGTCGGGTGGTTGACCTAGGGCTCCACCTTCAGCCAGCCCATCACCCTCAGGATGATGAAGAGATCCAACCTGTCGCCACGACATCCCGCACTGGACCGAGGGAGACGGATGACAATCCCACTTCCCAACTTGTTCCCGTCTCCTCCACCCCTCCTCCTTACGACTCTCCTGGTCGCGAAGATTTACCTGCGTCTGCCTCGTTGTGCACACGCTCGAAACTGAACCCTGAAGATAAAGATGAAGATGAAGATGAAGATGAAGATGAAGATGAAGATGAAGATGAAGATGAAGAGTCCGACATGACTGATGAGGAAGACGACGACGACCTAGAAGAGCACCGCCTTGCATACTACCCTGAGGACACAATGCGATGTTCTCATGATCCCTACCGGGTGGAGAAGTGCGATGATGGGGTCGAGGATGTCGTCTTGACTGGCGAGCTGGATGAAAATCATCGTCTCGCCTGGGGTGAAACGATCTACTATGGGCGCGTAAGGCCTTGGGATGGGATGATAGCCATCTTAGGATTATCAGTAAGTCCTTCTCTTGTCCCGTATGTGCAATGCTAATAGAATCAAACAGAAGGACAGACTCACCGGCCTGAACAACCACGTCATCTACCATGGCTACATCTATGGTGGCGACGTCTTTGCTGGGAACTGGAGGTATGCCACGATGGACCCTCTGGTCCCAACAATCGAATGTGGCTTCATCATGAGCAGAAAGGCAGAGCCCTCTGGAACGTCATAAACATTTCTGCTCAATTCACTCGTCTAGGACTCTGATCATGATTATCTATTAGCACTCTCACTCCTAACTAACCTATCGCGCTTCTTGGTTGTACATCGCTATTTGTATTTCAAGCATCTTAGACTAGATTGATTACTTACCTGCCCTCCTGGACTATATATCACTGGCAAAGGGGCTGATGACGACCGCTTTTCGCTCACCTCTAGCGAATCACAATTGATGGTGCAGTCGGGAGCGTTGGTTCTTCGCCTTTCCTTCTCGTCGTCGTACCCGAACTACTATTTATCTCTAGAACCTATCACAAAACACGAGCCGAATCCATTACCTTGTATCGAACCGCTCTTACCAGTCACGACAGAGACTCTAGCAACGGTCCAATGTCTCTTGTTACTCAATATGATATTCGCGATGCCTGAAATGAACTGATTGGAGGGCTTTGGCATATGTGATGGATCCTAGAAAGTTGTAAGCTAGTGCGATGCCGTCCAAGCGCCTAGTTGGTCTGGTCTATCCCTACAGCGCTTAAAGGGACTGAAGGCGACGGTTTCTCGCTCAACTCGGCCGAGTCGTCGTTGGGTTCTGGCAGAAAGCGAAGAGCGATAATCTGAGGTGCCACAACCTAAGCAGATGCTTGTATAAATCCTATTCAAGGAATAATCTAGAAACTATCACTTACCGTCATAGAAACCCACAGAACACCGTGAACAGGAGACAGCTTCTCGTGTATATACCAGAGGATGATGTGCAAGAAGCCCAGCAACATCGAAAGAAGCGAAGACCCAATCAGGATCTCCAGGAGCTTCTTCCACAGGAATTGGGTAAATATGCGGCGAGGTACGAAGGATTCCGCCACCCGTCCTACTCGACAGAGGTGTACAAAGAGAGGGACTGATACAAGCAAGTTTGCACCAAGGGCGACATATGACCCAGCGAGCAACAAGATCATTGCTGCTGCGCGAAACGGGCTGGCCAACATGAAGATGAATAAGCCTGTTGAAAGTGAAGAGGTGGTATGAGCGGAGCGTGGCCGTCACTAATATGCCGCTGAAAGCTCACCCAACGAGGCTAGCAGAAGTCCAGAGGCTGGTGCAGTAACAAACCAACGGATCTGAAGAGCGGTGTGACATCTGTAAGTCTGAAAGAGAGCTTCAGTGAGGGATGTCGTTCGGTGTTCACGCCGCATACCAGGAGTGCATTTGAGAGCATAATCAAGACTTGAGCCAGTGCGATATTGGCAACGTCCAAACGCTGGGTAGCTCGAAAGGCAGGAAGCCCTTCAAGCATCACGCAACCATTCCCCGCCCAGGGCCAGATTGGCAGGGTCCCATCGAAATAGCAAGGATCGCTCCGCCATTCTTCTTCGTATTCGATGCGGGGACGCAAGTGCCTCGTGACAAGCTCCAGCTTTGTGGCAAAGTTTGCGACCAAGATGATTGTGCAGACCAGGTACAGAACGCTGAGAATCGCGCACAGGGCGTCAGCGATGAGTTTGGATCTCGGGGGCTGCGCCGATGATCCCTCTCTCAGTTTCAAGCCACAAATCAGGCGGAATGAGATTTGGACTTGGACCACTGAGTGAAGAATGAATTAGGGTGTTATTTCGTAGCTTGCCCGTAGGCTTGCCAGAGAAGCATGAAGCGAGAATCAACGCCAGCAAGTCGTCGAGAATGAAGAAACCAACATCTGGGGAGAGAGATTCCGAGAACTGAGAAGTGGTGTGACCCAAGAAGGACGCGATCTCATACATTGCGGGGGGGCAAAGAGATAGACCTCTGGAGGTGGACAGGCAAAGACTTTTAAGTGGTTTGGACTCCGAGAGGCAAGGAGACGATCCTGTGCCATCTTTGGATCGGATGAATGCATATAATTCTCAACATTGCGCAGTCTCCCGTGGCGAAGAAGGGCGAACACTGAGTCGAGAATGATTGTGGTTTAGATCAAAATTCCCTTCGAAGCGAACCCCTTTCCCGTCAAAACTCTCAGAGAAGTTGACGTTGAAGTTTCAAAGGGCTAGTCAAGGCAAGTGCAGGCCAGCGAATGCGAGGAGGAAGAGTGATTTCTACCTGCTTACCCCTCGCACCTATGGCCGCTGAATTTGCCCATGCCTTCTCCTTCTCCCATATAGAAATCGACAAGTCATCAGTCGCGACGCCAGGCGTACGCTGCGCAGGGGACAAAAAGTTCGCTGGAAGCAGGATTTGAACCTACGCGGTGAAACACCAAGTGATATTGTAAATTCAAATCACTCGCCTTAACGACTCGGCCATTCCAGCTTGAAGCAGTTTTGGTAATTAACATACCAGTCCGTAATAAACAACATTCAGAGGACTAAGCGCCTTCTGTTCGGGGATTTGTCTCTTCTCCCGTCCCATCATCCGAATGCACTGTCTTCTTCACAACGGCCATCGCTGCTCTGAGCTTCTGGATCCTTCGATGGGCCTTTATCGCCATGTTCTGCTTCACAATGACCCGGACATCTGTCATTCCATTCCATTCATCCATTCATCCCTGCCTTTCTGATATCCATTGTCAAAGATGCTGGAGACATGGCCTTGCTTCCCCTACGTGAAACTACAGTGGCTGACAACTGGTTACCTGTTCTCCGGCCCGGATTAGCAACTGCCAATTGGCATACCTAGCACGAGGCTCAGAGTTCTCGAAGCAGATCCCGTCCTACACGAGACCGTCTGGATCACCAGAGAGGTGCACTAAAATCTGCCAGAAACTGTCCTCAATCTGTCAATGATCACCGCCCTCGCGGGCGACATGGCGATACTATAACTGGCTGCTCGGGACAAGGATGATATCAGAGCTAGGTGACGATGAAGCACGATTGGGCCAGGGGCTTGACTTGTCTACCATCTCGCTCTCGTGATCGAATGCGCCCTTATTGAGTGGTGCTATAAGAAACCTTTGTTCATAACAACTCGGTGATCTTTCAAGTCTCCTTCTCCATAGCTCGCTGCTTCTCTCTCTCGTTTCTTCTTTTTTCTCGTTCCTCTTCTCTATCTATTCTCTTTCAACCCTTGAAGGGCTTTTTAAACTTTATTTCTTCACTCTCGTTCATTGAAATCGCTATTTCTTGAATCCACAATGCTTTTCGCTCTTTCAACTCTAGTGATGAGCTATGCTTCGGCATTGTACGTACTTTCCCCCCTTATCTTAATTAAATTTCACTGAAAAACATGTCGCAGGGTCATCCCAAGACAACTCAACTCGACGTGCAGCGCACCCAGTGTGCAACTAGCCATGGCCTCCTGCCTCAACTTCCCCGCCATCCCAGCCATCCTAAACACCCCAGCAGAAAACACCTTTCTCGATCCAATGGAGAGTTGGCTTTCTGGATTTTGCGCCCCGAACACTCCTGTGTGCTCGGACGAAACACTCGCAGCCTTGGTCAACGACATGACCAACCATTGCTTTGATTTCCTCCCTGCTGTAGGAAGCATCAACGAGATCTTGGCAGCCAACACGGGCAGTCCTGGATCCGTCTTCCCGTTCCCGTTTAGTTTGTTGGACCCAGCACCCACACGGAGGTCGACAGAGGAGACGATTAGCTTGGTGCAAAAGTTCTACCCGACGTTGAGGAAGATCATGTGTTTCAAAGAGTGCGTCCATCTTCCCGCTTTCCTGTGTGATCCTGTGCCTGATCGTTGATTACAGCAAGGGCGAACTCTGCCTGACGAAGACAACACTCAAAGGAGTCGAGTCGCATGTCGGAACCTTCAATCAGAACAACCTCGCGGCGACGAACGTCTTCAACCCCGGTGTCACGGATTTCTCGACCTTGGACTGATGTTTTCTGCACCGACTGCATGAAGGCATCTTTCAACACAGCGATCAGGGAGAACACAGATCTGTTCGTTGAAGCAAAGATTGATGAAACTACGGTGCAGCAAATGTGCGGAGGGTCTTTTGTTGGTGAGTCTATTCGCGCTGATATGATTCGACTATGGGCTGAGGGATTTCTCGTTCAGATCGTGGTGCTCCTTCGACGGTTGCTGGGTTAGCGTCTTGAAGGAAGCATGAAGTGATTCGATGGAGTCAGCTGGGTAGCGGTTTTTGCGCAACATCGTCAGCGACGATGGTTGTTATCGTTTCAATGGACATTTTTCTTACCTTGGTCATTGGGATTTGAGGTCATCAGGACATTGCATCGTCGTGAGTGTGTAAAGTAATCAATGGTATGGAAGGGAACAAGAATAGAACATTAGAATTTCCGATAAGAAGCCACATCTTTGATACCATTCTCCGGGTTGTCGCAGTCCTCATAATTGAATTCTGACAAGAGATGGCTTGGCCTGTTGCCTGCTTGTTCCGTGCATCCTGGCCGTCAAAGTTCAAAGGGCGGCAAGGCGATGAAGATTAACATTGGATTGCACAGCACACAACAATACAACAGATGGTAGTGGAATTGACTTTTTGACAGAGGGGTGACGAAAGCTACTGAAGACGATATACTTTTTATGATAAACAAACGAATGTGAGATAGAATGTACTTGCGGAACGCAGCGACAAGAGCGAGAACCAAGGCGACCAAGATGCCAAACGGCTTCAAGGCCTATACACGAATGGCGAAGAATGTAGTGATTTAAATTGAGGGCAGGAGGCAGAGAATCAAAATGGGGGAAAATGTCGAAGAAATGAACGAAGGTACAACAAGCAGGAAATTAACGAACAAGCGGAGTACTGATATGAGGCTTATGCTGCTTTTAAACTTGATACGATGCTGTATATTCCGGAATGCTGTGAGCTTGAATCGATGGAGGAGAGATTGCTATCAAGAGAAGTCGATGGGTCGAAAGTCTTTCCAAGCGTGTGCGGTAAGATCAGTAACCATAATATGCGCGCTGGAAAGAGAGTCAGTGTCTTCGATAGCTCTGGACTGGCAGGAAGGGCTTACCATTCTATCGCTAACCGAACGGGAGAGGGAGAAGACAAGGTCAGAGGTTGAAGCAGGAGACCGAGCTCGGCGATACTTACAAGAGCCAAATAACCTTGGAACCGGTCTTGCATCCTCGCAGGGTTACGATATGGCCACGGATGCAATCATACAGGAGAGCCCGCTGGTCCTTATCCGCCTAACACATGGTGAGATTAGGCGTCGCAGACTTAAAACATCCCTTACTGTAGGGAGGACACTAGCAATGAGCTGGCTGCCGGTGACCGAGAGAGCCAGGTCAACGATCATCGCCCTGCGAGCTCTGCCGGGGCTGTGAGCGACGAAGCCCGTGGGGATAAGATGCGACGTACCCCTTAGCAGGCTCGCACATGCGCTTGACGATCCTGTCCAAGGTTTCCTTGCCTCCCTCCTTGAGAGCTTTGGTCACCGACTTAGAGCCTTGCTCGTGAGTGGCGAACTCGAGGAGGCCTTCTAAGAGATGATCGACGGTCATTCGGCGATGCTTCTCTGATCCGTGCTCCAAGACTAACGGAAAGTGCGTCAGGAGATGAGAAGCAACTGGACGAAAAGGAGAACGTACTATGCTGGATGCAGTAGGAGCCCCATTGGTTCTTGGCCACCTCCTTGAAAACGGCCGCACCGTGGTTGAGCAGCTCGTCAACGATGCCGTCCTTAGCCTCGGCCTCTAGATTCTCGAAGGCGTGCTGAATAGAGGTTTAGAGTAAGATCGAGTACCCAAAAAGCATAACTTACCTGGACAACCAGCGATCCCGTTTCATGGCAAGCCAGAGAGGCCCATTTGCCCTTCAGGGACTTGTTGACGCTTGACGAAACGTCAGATCAGCAACTTAGCAGCAGCAGAGTTCGGAAACTTACAAGGCAAAGATGGGAGGCGCGGGAGGAGTCCAGGACAGTTCCATGATCTAGCGCGTATTAGCTGCGTGAGGCGGGCAGAAGGGACTCGGAGATGTACCTTGCTCCAGACATGAGAAGCATGCTTATTGATCAGGGTTTGAGCTGGGTCGCCGAGGAGGAGCTCAGAAACAATAAGAAGACGAATATCTTCTTCGCAGTCGAGAGCCTTTTGAAGGACGTGGCAGCCATAGCAGTTAGTGGCCAGTTCCACGATGCGTCCGCTGCAGAGGTTGCGTTGAGCAACGTAAACGAGTCCGTCGGACGGACTTGACATACCGCATACAAGCAACAATCTTACGACGTTCTTCAGTAGTGGAAGCGGCTTCGAGGCATCGTTGAACAGCCCAGTTGCCAAAGCTACGAAGATTATTAGCGCTCTAACTCGGAGAGTATGCTTAGACTGTGACTTACCGATGTGCCATCATCTCGAATCCGCGAGCACAGATAGCGTCCATAATCTTGGCGCGTTCCTCAACATCTGCAATCTTAAGCTTCTGCTGGAGGAAGATGGAGGCCTGTTGGTCGGAGGACTTGATAATGCGAGCAACGAAGCCATGATAGTTTGGGTTTGAGGATGGATGGAGCAAAGCGAGGAAATTGATGGGCTGTCAGATTCAATGTCAGCGAATGTTACGTTCTTTGCCGGAATCGCTCACCTCATGAGAAGACCCAGTATTCTGAGGAGGGGTAGGAGTATGCTCCAGGGATAGACGAGGTCCATCGTTAACAGATGGGCCGGTAAAACGATCTGGAGAGCTCCTAGTAGACATCGCCCTCCAGTCAGGCAGCGAACCAGGCGAAGTAAGAGGCTGCTGGAACTGGGGCGACTGGCGCCAATCAAGCTGAGTGGACCTCAGGTTGTCGAAATGGCGGGTAGCAGAAGTGCTGTAGAGCGAGTGAGGCAAAGCAGCAGCTGAAGCGGAGCAACTGTCCGAAAGATAGGCTGCGGAATTGTGAGCATTGGGCGAGTTGTGGAAGCCCTGAGGGTACGGAGAGTGCTGGACTCCACCGATACCGTCGTGAGGCTTGTCGGCGAGGCCGTTTTCAAAAAGCAAAGAAGATTGCGATTGATAGTTTGGATGAGCCTGGGGAGTGTCGTAAACGCTGCCAGGGAATTTTGCGTCAAACGGACGAACAGGCGAGAGGTCAGTTGGCGTCAACAATGCGGAAGAGACCGACGCGGGTGAGAAATCTGGAGAGTTGGGGCTCGTTTGGACTGAAATCAACGGCTTGTGAGCCCCAGCAGCAGCAAATGGCGCGGGCGAGTTGAGATTCAGCGTTCGAAAAAGCTGTTCAACATGCTTTTCGACCGTCAGAAATGCATATATGTGCTCAAAACGACTCAGGGCTTACCTTATCCTCGGCATACTCGGGCGTAACCCGTTTTCGGCCATCGCCAATGGCACCGACGTCACGACTCTGACGTTGAGCCTGAGTCTGAGCAAGGGCGGGTTG